CGTAGCAATATATTTTTCAACTTACATTACGTATTTCAGGTATGCCTTAACTGCAGCAATGTTTGGGCTCCTACCGCTTTGTAGTGTTAGAGCTAGAGTTAGGATTAGGGTCAAGGTCTGGGTCAGAGTCAGGGCAAGGATTAAAGTTATGGTTAGGCTTAGGATCAGGGTTATGGTTAGGGTTAAAGTTATATCTATCATTTCTCATCCCAGAACTTCCAACGTGTGTATCTACTATGGTTATTGGATAAACTACGATTAATGCGATATTATTGCTGAATCCAGGATACTATTTCTAACGCAGTGCAGTAAGAAAATCGTCTATATAACTAATCATTTTAAGCCCAAGGACAGAGTGTGCATTCTAGATCATTAATGGTCGCTATGAAAGCTGTCACATCGTACGACAGTCGGCTATGCGGTTAATCAGTTATCCAGCTCGCATCTCTTATCCTTGAGCTGCGCAGCATGACAGACATCCTCGGCGTCCAACAGCGACGACAGGTTGTGATTACATGACAAGCAGGGGCAACCGTATCACGCGAAGGCAGCATCAGCGCAAAAAAGAAGCTTAAGACGATTTCGCTTTTAATGCTAGCTAAATACTATCCACTTGATCCTCGACTATTCTTACCCTAGTCATCGCATCGACTGGAAAAACTCGCATTTCAGATGCAAGGGGGCGTTTTCCGTGTTCATAGGTTTTACAATGTTCAATTGTTACGCAATATTTAACCCCGTCACCGAGTCGAGTTGCGTGACTGGTTGGGAGGCGGATACGCGTACAGATATATGCCGCGAAGTCGCCGATAACTAGTCGAACCCGTCATATCTAGTACGATAACTAGTCGAACACGGCGTGCTCGTCCGGTTCCCAGCTGCGTAACTAATTAAAATCTTATTTTGAAGCCATGACAAACACGCGGCTCTGTGTAAAACGAAGGTCACCTTTAAGATGTTCGTAACAATCATTGCCAAGAAACGCGTCTTAGTGGATCTCGGTACCAAACTGGTTAAATATGTTTATGGACTGCTTTAGCCTAGCAGTAATGCACACGCATACCGCCAGTCGCTCTTCTCAGTCATTACAATGTCGGCCAGATATGCCGCACTAAAGTATACTTCCTCTATGGTAAGGACTTCGGATATATTTTGAGAAAGCTACCTGTTGTCTTGACTGCCTGTCTGTCTATCTGTCTGCCCGTCTATCTGTCTGCCCGTCTGTCTGTTCGCCCGCCAGGCCATTCATCTACTATTAGCCTTTATTCATCCATTATTCTTGCGTGTATTCCAGGAAAATACAAAATAAATCGCGATGTATATAGTCGCTGGATATTGCAAGCAGCAAAGAAAACAGCGGAACGAGTGGAAGGAGCAAAGTCAGACTATCTAGGACAACTTCGCCTTCTATTTCATTGGTCGCGCTCATGGCGATAGACACGATCAGCTCCGGACATGAAAGTTGTTCTAGAAAACTACACGCGGAGGTTGCCACGTCAGCCACTCCGATATGCTTCTCAAGTGTCGAGCATTGGCTTGAGGAACTTCGCCATAGAATATATTGCTTTACTCGCTATAATCAAAAGAGCACCTATGGGTAATCATATTATAGTGAACATTTCAGATCTTCGAGCTTTCTCTGTACGTAATAGTTTCGCTAGACGATTACGAATACGCTTCCTGTATCGACTATATATAATCGATATATATATATATATATGTATATACATATATATCAAGAGTACATAATAGAGAGTACATAATACATCTCTATTATGTACTCTTGATATATATATATATATACTCGAGGCTCTCGCATGGTAGACAATTCAGATGCGAAAACCCAGCGCAGAGAAGGCAATTCACCCTCCCCCCGAAGTTGGAATCACATGATTTCCGAGGAACACATTATGCTATGAAATGGCACACGTGTACACGTGTCACGTATCTACATAGCTGGTTTTGCAGTACCTCAACGCGAGGCTAGTACCTCCTGATAATTGCACTATAGTTAGTACGAAAGCGATTTATACTCGTTAAAGTGACAACGGCAAAAAACATTTCATTGGGTTCTTGAGATTTTAATTATAGTGCTTGTTCCAGACAGTCAAATAGTAAGTCTACCATAAAGGCGGTTTATATTTCTGACAAAGAGTTAACGACTATAGGCTAGACGTATAATGCAGGAGAACAATGGATCTGCCTTTCTCTCTCTGCTCCATTACGAAAGCGCGCGCTTTTTCTCTCTCTCTCTCTCTCTCTCTCTCTCTCTCTCTCTCTCTCTCTCTCTCGCTCTCTCTCTCTCTCTCTTTCTTTTCGCGTTCCTCGCTCTCTCTCTCTTTCCCCCTTAGTCTCTCGCCCTCTCGTCGCCCCCTCTCTCTCTTCCTCGAGCGCGCGCTCTCTCATTCTATCTTGCTTACCCTTTAACTTTTGTTTTCTTGCTCTCTCTTACACCGCGTTAAATGTCATTTTAAATTTTTATTCCGCGCTTAGATTTTATTTTAGATACATAAATAATATAAATAATATATATAATAATATATATAAATAATATAAATAATCGGATACTTTTATGTCTTAGT